GCTGGCGCTTTCTCCGCCTTCCCCAAGCCCTCCTCCTGGCCTCGTGGTAACACCTGGTGCACTGGGAGCGCTCTCCCCTTTCCTCTTCTAAGCAGCAGCACATTGCCGGCTCCTGTGGCCAGGGATTGGTCAGACAGAGCGCGCTACCCATCACCAAGGAAGAACCTCTGCACGTGAGTGGTGTAATCAGCTGTGGAGATGAGGTGTGAGCCTTGAGCTGGCTTCTATGTGGGAAGAACTTGCCTGTGAACACTAGGATTGAACAAGGGAGAATGAAGAAGGGAGAGATGGTGTCCTGATGATTCCGCCCATGCGTTACCCTTGACCCAGCCTTGCCTGAATCCGGGGCGCCATTATACCACATCAGATAGAGCAAACTCAGGGCTCATCCAAGCAAAAAGAAGACTTGGCCCGTGTGCGTGTGCGTGTGTGTAGGTGTGTGTGCAAGTGCATGTATGTTATATATGGGGGAGGCACGCAGGTCACCTGCATATTACACGGATGTCAGCAGCCATGTCTTCAGATTGAGACTAGAGGGCTCTGGATGGGGAACCAGGACTCAAGGGTGGGTGGCTTTGTGGAGTAAATTTTGACTCTCAAGAAAGAGAATTCTGATAAAGTGTTCCACAGCAGAAGGCTTACATCAAGACAGGAGACCCTGCAGCTGGAGAACATCAAGTTGGGGAGAGAGAGAGCCAGAGATAGGGTATTAAAACCCTTCTGGAAAGTGAAATAAGTCCCATTAAAGCTGGCAAGGGAGGAAGTGTAGGGTTTATATAGTCAGGAAGAACTCGCAGACAGCTCACAGAATTGGAGGAGGAGGTACAGGACCCTCTACTTCGGGGATGGAACTGGGGCTGTCTGGTTTTCCCTGCCGGGCTCCATTTTCCACTTTGCTCTCTGTGTGGGCAAGATGGCTACTATTCCTTTGTACCTTACACCCTTCCGCCTCCAACCCTGGCTGCAATAGTGCATCTCAGGGGAGGGCTATGATTGGCTGTGCTTGAGTCATAGGCCCGCCTCTGAAGCAATCACTCAGTGTGATTGGCTCTGTCTGGCCCGAGCCCTATATCCATTCCAGTGGTTGGGAGTAGAAATTACTAGAAGTTACTAGAAGAAGTTGAATAGGGGAAACATGCTGGGCTTCTGAAAACATTAGTATCCACGATGCACTGTGGATCCAACATGAAACGGAAAGATAGCCCAAGCTCTTCTGCGGTATTTGGACACACAGTAGGGATGTTTAAAACACATATTGAAGGATGCGTAAAGATTCATTATGATTCTTTTCTGCCTCATTAACACCTTGTGGTTGACTTTGAGACTCAAGAGTTTGTCTCTGATCAGCAGAGGAGTCAGTTGGCCTGGGTGTTGCAGCTATGATGTGGATGAGGCCTGGGGTCACTTCTCAAATAAAGCAGCCCTCGGAGAAAGCCTTCCACACCAGAACACTACAGTGGGAACTGAGAGTTAACTAGGTGGTTATTAAATCACTTTCGCTCCTTCTAGTTATTCCTTGAGCCTCCCCCAAGTGTGTTCACAAATCCAAGTTATGTGAGAAGAAAATTATAAGGAGGGGTATTTGGGGAGCAAAAGCATCAACCGAATTCCTCATAAGTCTTGAACGAGTTGATCAGAGTTGCAACAGCCATTCAGGGAGTGGAGAGGACTGTAAAAATATTTCATCCGGAGTGGTGAAGCAGGTTGCCTTTTGCAGGTTTTATATTTTGAAGAAAATATTGCTGACCATGGAACTCAGGCTCTCTGCTTCTGGTCCAGCCTGACATGAAACTGCTTGGTAGCCTTTCTGTAGCACTCTAATCTTGGTGTGTCCTCTCCACGACTCACTGAAGTTTAACTGCCACTGTAAAATTAGTGTGCGGTGGAACCAGCAGGCAATTAGGTCACGAGGGCGCCCTCCTTTGAAGGGGTCAGGAGTAGGCAGTTATGGTGGGACTGGATCCTGAGAAAATCAACGAGTTCAGCCCCATTTTTCTCTCTGTCTCACGCACTCACTTCTGCCTTCCACCATGGACCGGTGCCACTCGAAGGCCCCAGACGCCAGATGCCAGTGTCACGCTCTTTGGGTTTGAACTGTGAGCCAAATAAACATGGATTGTTTATAAATTATCCAGTTGTTGACGTTGTAGCATACTGACAGAAAAAAACGCAGAAACTTGTGATGGACTTTTGCCGCTCCGGCAGGGTTGCAAGTCCAGGCTGTGTGTGCTCCTGTCCTCCATGTCCACACTCAAGGCAGACCTCGCTGATGGATCTCAGCAAGCCTCAGCGTCTTGCCACTGTTAGCTGTTGACTGGGGAATGAGAGGAAACCAGTGTGCCTTCCCAATTCTGCAGCATCAAAGGTCAACCACTCAGCCCCGCATCTGATGCTCTCCAGGGCCATCAAGTTCCCTTCCAAGACACAAGCTCCCGCGGGCAGTTTCCTGAGCTCTTGCATGCTCATTCCTCCGTGGGATTTTGAACGAGTTTCTTCTCAAGCTAACAGGGCAGGTGTTGAGTATACAGTTTCTAGAATCAGACCCTTCATAGATCCATTCTTGCTACCTCCAAGTTGCATAACTTTGAGTAAATCATGTAACTGCAGAGATCTTCCTTATTTGCAATCTGCAAGTGATAATAACAATACGTAACTCACAGCATTGCTGTGAGGGCAAAAGAAGATATTTCATGAAGGCCCCTAGAACACAGCCAGTCATAAATGCATTCTGTATGCTAAGGTGCTACTGCAAGGTCTGCTGTAGTGATCTGTAGCTGACACTTCCACTGGTATTTCTCTATTAGACGTCTGTCTGTCCATTGATTCCACTATCTATCTTTATCATCTGTCGTGCACCCTTAGCCTTTCCCCATTCTCTCTGAGTCACAGCTAAGGCTCCTCCTCCCCACCTACCAGCCATTTCCCGTTTTCTAGCATTTTATCACACAAGACGCTGGTCCACCTCAGGAAAGCGGCACTCACTCGCTTTTCTGGAGTCACCCTCCAGGGGGCGCCATGCTCATAGATTTATGGGTGAGAAGCCCCCTGGAGTTGTGCCCCCTGGTGTCCTGTTCCCAGTCACATAATGGGGCCATATCTTTCCAGGAGAGTGAATCCTGCCTAGGGAAGAGGCTGTGCCTTAGTTGCCACGGTGTGCCTGCTGCCTGGCACAGCACCTTGGCAGGCAGTAGGTAATCACTGCAGGTGGAATAGAGAGCAGGGAAGGGCTGGGTGGGCCAGCCCTTGATCTTTCTGTCTCAGAAAGGTTAGGGCCCGGTGGCCTCTTTCGGTTCCTTCCATGGAACTAGGATGACTAGGATGCAAAGAGTCGTCAGCCTCAGTGCTGTTGAACGTTCTTTGTGTAGGGAAGACTGTCCTCTGCATCCTAGGATGTTTAGCAGTATCTGTGGTTGTTACCCACTGGATGCCAGCAGCAGCCTCCCAGCCCTCCAGCAGTGACACTCAAAACTTCCTCCAAACACTGGGAGGTTTCTCGGATTTTAGAGACTGTGCAATTTGGCAAGGCTTCTGTGTTTTTCATTGGGTTGACATTCTGGGCACCAGACTTGTCCTGTGACCAGCACAACCTCCCAAGAGTCTCCCTTTATTTCCCTTCCTTCCGGTCTAGCTCAGCTTTGTGGGATCTCTCCGGTCAGATCTTTGAGGAAGGGTCCTCTGAATCCCTTCCTCTCCAGGAGTGTCCGGGTCCTGCTGTGACCTCACAGTCCTCCTCCCCAGCCCCCATACTTACCCCCTCACAGCCCCCCATTATTAGGCTCTGCTTGGCTACTCGCCAGTCTCTGACACACAGCCATGACTTGGATGTCTTATTCAGTTTTGTATTCTCTGTGCTTAGCAGGAAGGCACGCGTGCGGTAGGTGATCATCTCTTCATTCAGTGCGGTTTGTGGATCACCTGCCTAGCGTGAAACCTTGGACTGGACACAAGGATGATAAAAGATGGCATCCTGGGCTCACATAGTACAGGGGACAATGACCCACCAGGCTTCTGAGTCTATCTTGGCCCATTTTTGGACTCCTTAGAAGAGTGTGAGGGTCTAGGCTGTTCCCAAGTCAGGTAATAGAATTACTAAGTCAACGGAGATCAGATTTCTACCTGGATCCTCACGCAACCTGTGAAGCAGGATCTGCGATCTCACATCCACTTTACGGGAGAGGACACCGAGATCCAGGAGGGTTGTGTGACACGCCCAGGGTCACACAGCGTTGGTAGCCAAGGGTGTGTACACCCAGGACTTTCAACTCACACATTGCTTTGTTTGGGTTCTGGGTTAGAGCTCAGGCTCAGATTGCAGAGTTGCTACCTCGGCTCTGCTAGTTTCCAGCTCTCTGATGCAGGCCAAGTCACTTCACTTGTCCATGTCTTGATTTCCTCGCCTGGAAAATGGGCTTAGTTCTAAGCCTTCTAGTAAGATTATTTTAAAGAACCAGTGTGATGACCCAGGCCAAGAAAACTCTTACTAATACATAGTAAACCTCCCAGGCCACGGAAGCTGTTGCCTCTGAAATCCCGAAGTTCACATGTCTCACCCCCTTGGCCAAAACAGCCTCCAGGAAGAGGCCCAACTTCTTGGAACCTTGTATTCCTTCTTTCTCCTAGGAGCCCAAATTCCAAGACATGTAGCTAAAATTGGCTCTCAAACAGCTTTTGCAGAGCACGTCGCAGCTTTTTTTGGGTCTAGAGAGCCAGTTTCCATGATGAAAGTGGCACAGAAGGAGAGACCCAGCTAAAAACAGCCACCGCCCAGACTGGTGTTAACAGGATGCAGCCTCCCCGTGGTTTGGGGGTTTAGACATTTGGACTTCCGCAGCAGCTCTCAGCGTCACCACTAGGTGGCAGTATCGCAACGCGCCGTGAGTAGGCCCCCGGACCTCGACAGAAAAGGAGGGCGCTGCTCCTGGAAATAATGCCCGTAAAAATTAGCTCGGGCTCCATCGTTACGCACTAAAATTTCCCCCTTTTATTTGTTTTCATCACAGCGCTTCATGAAAGCACCTCTTTTAGGGCTGTCTTGGTACCTCGAAAGCAAAGTTGAAGAATTGTCCGAGCGACCCCAAGTCCGTGGCCCATGGGTGTCCCTGCAGCAGGACTCCTGCGTCACACTTTGAATCGATACAGGCGGAGGACTCGCCTTGGCGTTGAATTTTCCTGGTGAGGTGGCCTAGATCAGGAGGCGGGTACCAGTTTGGGACTGGGGTATTGCCATGCGAGGCCGCTTGCCTTCCTTTCTGGATGCAGAGACCGTGCTTTGGCTCTCGGTGTGGCTGGCTTGTGCCCAGGTCGTGGAACCAGATGGAGAATGGGACCCTAATGCCACTTGCCTCATGGGCCACAGTGCAGCAGAGTCTCAGATAGGCTTTCTTCGAAGAGTCCTGGCATTCACATCTTACTTACTGTCACAGTTTTATCAGTCTCTCCAGGGCTTGGTATATATTAGACATGCAACAATGACCCTCTTTGAGCATCCCTTATCCAAAATGTTTGGGACCAGAAGAAGTGTTTCGGATTTTGGATTCTTTCCGGATTTGAGAATGTTTGCATATATGCAGTGATATATACTGGGGCTGCGACCTAAGTCCCAACACAAAATTCACTTTTGCTTCCTCTCTCCTTTATACCCCTGGCTGAAGGTAACTGTGTGCAGTAGTCTTTAGTGGACCTGCGTTTTGACTGCCACGGGTCACTACAGGTCAGGTATGGAATTTTCCATCTCCACTTATGTTTCCCATTTTGAAGATTTGGGATTTTGGAGTTTTGGATTAGCGTGGCTCAGTGGTCGCACTGTCATCATCTGGGGGACCACAGAGGAAGTGGGTCTGACTAGGGGACCCTGATGGGCCGGAAGCATGGGCACCACTGGGCGAACCTTAAGAGTATGAGCTCGAAGCCTCTCGAGGGGCTCAGGCATGGTGAAGTCTCAGAGGCTGTGTCCTGAGATCTCAGTCTCCCCAGGCTTGGGCAACTTTGACCCTCAGAGTCACGTCTTTGGAGACAGAAGCCATGAGGCCAGCCCTGCATTTCAACCTCTCTCCTTGCTTCCTTCAAACGGTCCCTGCTGCCTCATGCCCCTGTGTGCCAGGGCGACCCCTGCCCCGAATTCCATGGGCTCCCTGTGTGCTCAGTCCCTGATGGTTCCGGCTGTAGCACCCTCCCTGCCATCTGGGATGGGCAAGCCAACCCTGACTGTCCCTCACTGTACCCTCCCTGGCTGCCAAAGCTCTCACATCCCAACTCTGCAGTTCGTTGCTATTTTCCTGGATCGCCACGGTCCATCACAGCCTCTCTTACCTTGTCCCCTTCCTCCCACTCCCCCAGCTCCTGGTCTGATAGCTCCCGCTTCCTGCTTCGTGGCTCCTGCCAAGCTGGCCCCTGGCTGTCTCACTCTGCTGCCTCAAATCCATCCGGCTCTGCACCCTGGGTTCAAGGACTTCCCTCCCTTGACCTGGAGCCAAGGCTGCCTCTGACCTGACAGCTTCTCGTTCACCTTTGGAGGTCCATCTCCAGCAGCTTTCCTCTCCCATTTCAGATGAGGGCATTCGAGCTCTGTCTGGTCTGCGGTCTTTCTTTCGTTTGCAGTTTGGATTGGCACCCATTCCTGCCCATTTGTTACTGCCCTGATTCTGCTCTCACTGCAAAGCAGGGCTGGTTGTGGTTACAGGGTGTGAGATGTTTACTCTCTGGCCTCTGACAAATGGCACTGCCTGCGGTGGGTACCTTACACAGAGCAGGGCCTGGCTCGGGGCTGGGAGTCCGTCCCATTTGCAAAGTCCTTGCTCATTTCTGCTCTCAGTGGCCTTCCTCCCCTGGGAGGCCCAGTTCCAATGCCAGCACCTCCAGCCTCCCTCAGCAAACACCAATGGAGAGCCCAGCAGGCCTGCATCCGAGGGCTGCGGAGACATCCTCACTCTCAGGGAGCTTGCATCGGTGCCGCTGGGCTAGCTACAGCCCACACGTGTCCCTAGAGTGCTGGTTCTCATCCCAGTCAAGTCTTTTGGTCTGGAGGCCTGATGCTCACCTCATCTTTCTTTAGACCTGGCACAGTGCAGGTCAGTAGAGTCTGTCAGGATACAGGAACGAATCGCTCTCCTCCCCAGGGTCTGCTTCTGGGCTATCTCCATAGCACCTGGACTCCACCTGCCCTGTGATTCCAGCTGCTTCTGGGCTATCTCCATAGCACCTGGACTCCACCTGCCCTGTGATTCCAGCTGCTTCTGCAGCCCCACTTTTGGCCATATGCAGTTTTTATTTGTGCTTCTCAAACAAATATCCAGTGCACAAGACTGCTGAGCCATCATTCGAGAACACAAGTTACTGCTTCTGCAGCTGTGGGATGGGGCTCTGCGTTTCCCACTGGGTCCCTGATGCTGCTCCTCCAGGGATCATTTTGAGTAGCAGGGGTTGACTTTTGCCCCTAATTTTAACCTAGAATTACTTGGGGAATGCTTAAATGCTCGCACCTGTATCCTTTCCCATAGTGGTCGAGTCAGTAAAGGTGTGCACGGCACGGCCCTCTCTCTACAGGTGATTTGAATGTGCAGCCAGAAGGAAGCCTCGTCCTAGAACCCCTGACATAGAACCACATCCTGGAGATGACCGACCTTGGCTCCCCGCCTCCTATGAACTGGTCTTCTGGCCTCTGGTCACACCTCATCTAGTCCATTCTTTGTTTTGTAGTGAGAGTGATTTTGCCAGAAATGTCAGCCCGTCCAGATTACTCAGCTACTGAAAATCTCCGAAGACTCCTTGTTGCTCTCAATCCCGTGGCAGCTTAAAGCCTCTGAACCTCCCACCCATCTCCCACCACAGTCTCACCCCAGGTTCTAGGATCATGGAGCCGTGGTTGGTTCCCAAGGCCCTGAATGCTTTTCCTTCCTCTCTCCCTTCCCTGTGTTCTCATGCGCAGTCTTGAAAACAAAGATGAGCCATCTGCACTGATGGTGGAGGGCATTGACTTTCTACCAGTTCTCCTCTTTGGTGGATGCCTGCGACTTACAGGAAGAAAGGTTTATCTGCCTCACGGTTTCAGTGGGCTCAGTCCAAAGTTGGCTGAGTCCAAGGCAGAAAGCATGAGGAGGGCCTGGGGGAGGACAGCTGTTCACCCCAAAGCAGCCCGGAAGCAGAGAGAGCAGGGAGGAGCCAGAACAAGGATGCGCCCTTCCAGGCCACACCCCATGACGCACTTCCACCCAAGCCCCGCCTCTAACAGCGCTTGCGGCTGTGGAGTCGCCCGTGGATGAACCCACTGAGGAGTATGCGGCTCCCGGGATCCAAACACGTGAGACTTGGGGAGGGCATTTTAGATCTAAACCATGACAGGCAGGAAATGAAATCAGGCCTCTTTTTGTTCCAGCCTTCTGTCTGCTGACGAGAAGGTCCATTTTCCAATGCTTCCTGTTTCCTGACTGCTAATGGAAAGTTTTTCGTAAAAAAAAAAAGAAAGAAAAAAGAAAAACTTTTGGCCTGTTATGTCTCATTCCTGTTAGCCAGCAGGTCTAAGTATAGGGGAAACCTGCTGGTATGACTTCATGTCTTTTGGCTTCCTCTTCCCTGCAGCTTATTAGCACCAGGGGTTCCCAGCCTTGACTACTCATTGGAATTTACTTAGCTGGGAGCTTTTAAGAAAAACTTTTTTGTATCCTGGTGAAAAGCACCTAACACACAATTTATTATTGTAGCCATTTTTAAGTGTCCACTTCAGCAGTGTTAAGTATGTCGCTATGGTTTGGCTCCAACATGTCCCCCCACAATGTCATGTGATCGGAAGTGAGGCTTTAGAGTGATTGGAGCTTGAGGGCTCTAACTTTATCAGTGGATCGATCATGACTTCATAATTGGATGGCATCATTGGAAGGTGACGAAGACTCAGGAGGTGCAGTCTAGTTGAACGAATGGGTCTTGGGAGCATGACTTCGAGAAACGTGACTTGTCCCTGGTCCCTTCCTCGCTGGCTCTTTCTGTCAGTCTTTGCTGTCTGGCTGTCTCAAGGTGAGAAGCTTTCTCCTGCCATGGTCTTCCATATGTTTTTCCTTCCATTTTGTTTTGAATTTACCTCTCTGGAAAGCAATGGATTGGACTGACCATGGGCTGAAACAGCTGGATCCCTGAGTCAAGAAAACCTGTCCTCCTTTAAGTTATTTTTCTCTGGTATTTGGTCACCGTGATGGAAGGCTAAGAAAACATATATTTATGTTACTGTGAAATATTTTCATCTTCCAAGTCCGAAACTCTATACCAATGAAACACCTCTCCCTGTCTTCTCCCCCAAGTTCTGGAAACCACCCTTCTTCTTTCTCTCTCTATGAATTGGACCTACTTCAGGAAACTCTTAAACATGTAGTTTTAGTATTTACCCTTTTGTGACCAACTTATTTCACTTAGCTTAAGGCCTCAAAATTCCTCCATGTGGTAGTATGACTCAGAATTTCCTTTTTTACAGCTGAATAAGGCAGCACTTTTTGTTTGTCCATAATCCCATGGTGGACATTGGGTGGCTTTTACCTCATGGCTATTCTGAATAATACCTCTATGAGTATGGATATGGGCATACAGGTATCTTGGGGGACCCTGATTTTTCTATTCTTTTGGATCTGTTTCAGAAATGGGATGGCTGGATTGTTACGGTCGATCTAGGCACGGTTTATGTGCGATCGACCCTCATCGATGAGTAAATTTGTTATTTTACTTCCATTCTGCTGCCTCTCTGTGTGTCACTTACTGATTCCTTCTGTAACAGGATAATGTAACAATTCATTTCTTATTTTGAGAAACTGTTATTCTCTTTTCCACAGCAACCACACCATGTTATGTTCCTGTCAATAAGCACAAGTTACCGCTTCTTCTCATTCTTGTCAACACTTGTTACTTTATGATTTTTTGAAACATTTATTTATTTATTTATTTATTTATTTTTACTGTAGCCGGCCAGATGGATTTCAGGATGCTATTTACTTGATGGTTTGAATGCCATTATTGGAGAAATGTCTGCTTAAGTCTTTTGCCCATTTTATAATTCAGTTGTTTGTTGTTGTTGTTGTACCTCAGATTTTTCACAAATATCGACATCTTGGTCCCATGCCCAGATTCTTTGAAGTGGTTTTGGATACATCCTGGGCATTGGGGTTTTTCAACCTTATTCCCACCATTGATGATCACTGTGAACCAAGCTGAGAACTTCTGCATTTCACCAGAGATAATTCCTTTAGGTCCAGAGAAGTCTATTTAGCAAGAAAGAGAAAGGACATATTTCCTATGCTTGACGATTTGGATATCTTAGTCCCACCCTTGAGCTTGGCAGAAGTACATGTTCCTGATGGGAGATTACTTGTCTGAGCCCGCTGTCGGGCTCAGGAGGATGCAGGGCTGGGAGATTCAGGTCTTGAGAGGGATTTCATACCAGCTACTGAGGGGTGTGGAGTGAAACAGGAGTCATTGCCTTTTGCATGAATCTATTCTGTCTTTCACTCTTTAGCATGTCTTGCACAAGTAGGTATTCATGTCATAGAGAAGTAAAATGAGGCTTGGCGAGCTATGAGAAAACTACTGTTCACTAAGGCCTTGAACTCCTGTGAAGTGTTTTACATCTATTTCCTTGTTAAATTCTCACATGAAGTGAAGGTATTATAGATGACGAAGTGGAGATGTGAAGGTCACACAGCTCAAGGACACAAATGATTCGAATTCCTAGATTCCTTTTAACATAACCTCTAACTCCCAGCTAAGTTGCTCAGCACTCTCCAGCTTTCCTCTGCACCAGTGAGCAAACGTCAGAAGAAGCCCTAGTGTGGTATTATACATATGCAAATTTTTCCTTATCAACATTGGCTATCGCAGGAGAGATTCTAACCCTCATTGGAGGACACATTCAAAGTTATGTTAGTAAAAATTACTTTATGTAATGAACCTTTAGGTCAATTCTTCCTGAAATGAGCTGGAATTACATTTTCGCTCTTCCCAGATGTGATGCTTTCAATTCAGCGACGCATTACAGGAGTCAGAAGCTCTCTGACATTTCAGTGCTGGGCACAGCATGTGATAGCTTTCTAGTTTGCTGGCCCTTTGCAGAAGGAAAGCAGATCTATGGGAGTGAATTTTTTAACTTATCGGGGCAATTTGATGGAGGCCTTTTTCTTTATTCAGGGAGAATATGCCATTTTAACATTTAAATTCATTTGTTTTCAAAATCTCTCTTGGGTCACTGTATGAATATTAAGGACTATATGTGCATACACAAATAAGTTATTTGTGTGACTGTAGGCTAATAATTCTATGTGTTTTCTCTTTGCGTGTCTTTAAAGGATTGGATCAGATCTATTTCTGCCCAAGTTGTGCAGATCTTACCAGATATTAAGAAGATAAAAAGAAATAGAGAAAGAATGTTCAGCAAAGACAGGACTCCTGCCTTCTCAATGTGAATTGTTCCTTTGTTCTTCTCTGTGTTCCTGTCCAGCCACACGGTAAGAGCCATTCCCATGACTGCTGCCCCCTGCAGAGAGCTTGGGAGAGGGCAAGGTTTGGTTCTGACCTGCTTTGTCCTCATGGGAACATCAACTCATATAACTGGGGAGATGGTGTTATGATTTGGATGTAAAATGTTCCCCCGAAGTTTCATATGTTCAGAGGTAAGGCTTTTGGAAGGTGACTGGGTCATGGGGTTTTGTACGGTCACTGATTGATCCTTTGATGAGTGTCTAGATAAGGCGCTGTTAGGAGGGGAGGTCCTGGCGAAGGAAGTGGGTCACTGTGGGCAAGCCTGTGGAGGGAATGTCTCTTCTTCTGGCTCTGTCCTTTCTCTCTACTTCTGGTTACTCTCATGTGTGCTCCTTGGAGCTGGTGGCCTCTGAAACTGTCAACAAAAATAAACCTTTTCTCCTATATGTTGTGTATGTCAGGCCCTATATTCCACCGATGAAAAAGTAACCAGTACATGTAGGGAGAGTTGTCACTCTAGGGGCTGTTTTCAGTATAGCTGGTGGCACCGAATTTGCAGCTGAAATAAATGTTTGTGGTCATTTCTTCCTGTTTTGTTAAGATGGGAGGTCAGCTGCGGTGCTCTGTGCAGAAGTCTGAGGAAGCAATTGTAATATGTTTTGCAAAGTTATTTGATGAGATGCATTTAAAAAAAATTGTATCTCTCTGGAGGAGTGAATGTGTTACCACTTTATGTTGATCTTTTCTATACTCATTATTATTTTTTTTAACTTAAAGGTTATTTTGGCTGGTACTAATAAGATCTCTTTCGTTTCTTTTGGTCTCACCCTTTCTACGTTACTATGTTTTAATTTTGTGTTAAAAATAGCACACAGCTGAATTTTCCTTCCCTCCAATTTGACTATGTCTTTTAACTAAAGTGTTTATTCTATTTACATTTATTGATATAATCAGACTTGTTTCCCCCATTTTAAATTTGAGTTTTGCTTGTCTAGCTTTCTACACATATCTATTTTTTCTTTTTTTGGTCTGAAAAAATCGAGTTCTTTTCCTTTGTTATCTCTCCTGGGTTGGAAACTATAGCCTTTGGTGTTTTCTCTCTAAGTGATTCTCTTTGGAGTTTTATAATGTATGTAAAGTTTCTTAACTTTAATGTTAGTACCTTTACTGTCACTTGTTCTCTTCTGCTTGTAGATATAAAGATTTTGAAAAACTGTGACCTTATTCATCTTGCTTCTAATTTATATGCTTTTGTTGCCCAGGATTTTACTTTTTTAATAAAGCCCACTAATTAGACAATTGTTTTTACTTTATGATCATAGTGGTTGTTTAGATTGCATGCATGTCTTACCTTTTTCCTCTTCCCTTTGTCATTTCTTCCTGAATCTTGATTTTCTTACCTGTGATTATTTATTCTGCCTTAATTACATCTTGCGGAAGTTCTTTTAGTTAGAGGATCGGTGACTAAAGCTTTTAGTTTTTGTTAGTCTGCGAATATCCTTAGCTTGACCTGGTTAGATCTGCTATGCTAGCTTGACAATTGTGTTTTCTTAGCACTCTGAAGAGATGGTTTTTTCTTTTTAATTTTTATTAGCACACGTTTATTTGTTGTATCTGGTTGTTAACCCCTTCTACCTGCGGCTGCTTTTCATGCTTTGTGTTTGCTTTTGATGTTCTGTAGTTTTACCCTAATGTATCTTGGGACAGGCTTCCCTTGACTTATTCTGGTCTGAAATTGTGCTTCTTCTATCTGTGGATTCGTACCTTTATTGGTTCTGGAAATTTCTCAGTCTTTACCCCTTCAGATATTCTTGCTATATTTTCTACAAGGGATTGAAATTCATATTTCAACTTCTTATTCCCCTCTTCTTGCTTTGATATTTCTACCTTCTGTGCTTCTATGTTCTGGTTTACCAATTCTCTCGCTCTCTTTTTTTCAGTTGTGTGTAACTTTTTGACACATCCACTGGGTTTTGATTTCAACAGTTATAGCTTTAGTTCATAGATTTTCTTTGTTTTCAAATTTACCTGGTCATTTTTTTTTCTTTTGGTACTGAGGATCGAACTTGGGACCTTGCGCTTGTGAGGTAGGTGGTGGGAACTGTTGAGCTAACTCCCTGGCCCTGGAGGCAGTTCTTGAACTTTAGGGTCTGATGTTTCTGCAGTCATCTTTCAGACCTTTGGCCCCTTTAATGTGATGGTGACTCATGAAGCCACAAGGAGGCCATCAGCTCAGGGGAGGTCTACGCACTCTTTCAAGGGTGTTCACTGGTTAATCCTGGCTGATCTCCCTCTGAATTAATGAAAGCAGTTTATCTGGGACCTTACTTCTGCAAGATCCTCTTCACCGTTGCTGTCTTCCATTGACAGATTCTATGTCTGAACCCCTTTCTTGCTTGTAACAACGTTCTGGCCGGTGACTTGTAAGCAGCGGTCTAAAGAAAAACGATCCCTTTCTGACAAAGAGAGGCAGACCCGACAGGCATGTGACTTACCCCTTGCTTCTTTCTCCTCTTCTCGACTGGAATGTGGACCCTAACTAAGCTCACTATTTTGTGACCATGAGGTTCCTTCATTTTTGCCTAGAGCGGATTAGGAAAACGGGGAGTCTGGGACTCCAGCGGCCTTCTGGAGCTTCTCTGGACCACTCTCGGGCTTATGTGAGAAAAAACTTCTTGGTTATACAGACCTACTAGGCTTTTATTACATCCAATCAGAGGTATACAGACCAAATTGTATGCAGCCATGTTCAGTCCTGTAAGGCAACTGTCACAGCAGCAGTTCTCGTGAGTCACATGCTAGAGTGTGGCGTTTATTCTGAGCTCAATGAAAGGGTATTGGAGACTTTAAATTGGATAGGCTCCAGTGTTGATTTATGTCTTGGGAAAATCTGGCTGCTTAACAAAGAATGAACAATGGGTGTGTGTGTGTGTGTGTGTGCGCGTGCGTGTGCGCGTGCGTGTGCGCGCAGGATAGGAAGTGGGGACTCAGAGAAGGTAAGTCATTCAGGGTAACATGTGTGTGCGCGTGCGTGTGCGCGCGTGCGTGTGCGCGCAGGATAGGAAGTGGGGACTCAGAGAAGGTAAGTCATTCAGGGTAACACAGAAAGAGTGGAACACAGTCAGAAAATTTTAAAATTTTATTAGTACACAGTGATTCCATTCTTCATGGGGAGTGGGTACATGTACGTAACACCTCTTAATTCTTTTTACGTCCATTTTCCCACACTCCTTCCCCTCCCTCCATCTCTTGGTCTCTTTTCCATTTGCAAAAGATCTAGCTCCCTGTTTCCTATTATCTTTCTTTCATTTTTTCCCTCTTTAATAGTTGGGATTCAAAATTCATATTTATTTGACTCAACAGCATTGGCTTTGGTTGTTGTCTCTGATTTTAATCAAAGCCTTTGTCAACTTGTTGTTGCTGTAGGAGTCCCATAGTATCCTTTCACTCAATTTATCTCTAAATTTCCATTTTCTGAAAAAAAACTAGCGATTTTCATAATCATAAAAGAGAAATTAATTCTGGGTCTGGAATTTTTCCATATCAATCTGGGTCAACCTAATTAAAGCTGAGAAAGGAAAGATGTGTGTGAGATGTGTGTGTGTGTGTGTGTGTGTGTGTGAGGGAGTGGAGTGGAGACCTTTCCTTTCTGGCATGATTTGCTTACATTGCTTTTAAGTCTTTACTGACTAGTGCTCCTGATACTAAATTACGAACACTTGCAAATTAAAAAGGTTTCCAGCATCATAATTGGAACTCCAATCAGCCCCAGCTGAATGCTAAGTGAGCTGGACTAGGGCACCACTCATGGACCCAATGTGGAGTTTTATTCAGGGTCTCCAAGGGAGCCATGCAGATTTGATGTGTGACGGCAGTGCAGTGACAAAGTTCACTGGACTTTGAAGGGGGAGATCCAGGCTTCTGCTCCTGGTCCCCCACTGCTTCACTGGGTAAACTTGGGGTACTCACTTCCCCTTGCTGCTTCTCAGTTTCCCCCATCTGCTAAGTGGGATTTTACTAAGCTAGAGCAGAGGCTTTTAGTTTGTGTTTCCTGGAGTCCTGAGACAACCCTGGAGAAGGGGCTGGCTCTTTGCATCAGATGAGTCTGGAATAGGAAGATGAGGAAAGAACTCCACAAGCAGACATACTCGCAGACTTGTCCCTGAGAGACCTCACTGCCTCTGCCCTCCTGTTTTGTATTATAGTGGAAATGGGGTATTAAGTTCTGTAAATCACTGATATAAAAATCTGTAATTAGACACATTGTGTTCCAAGCAGGTGGCTTTCCCCATTTTCCTGCAGGATGGAAGCTGGCTATCTTAGTTACTTTTCTCATTGCTGAGACAAAATACCTGATACTCAACATTAAGGGAGGAAAGTTTTATTTGGCTCAGAGTTTTAGAGATTTCAGTCCATAGCCAGCTGGCTCCAAGGCAGAGTTGTATTACAGAGGAGAAACAGTTCATGGTGGGCTGAAGGTAGCAAAGCAAGCAAGCAAGGAGAAAGACAAGCTTCTTTCTGTCCTTTATATTATAGCAAGGCTGATGGATTTAGGGCAGTGCCAAACCAATCAGTGGACTGATTTAATAATAAACCACCCTTAATCCTGGCACCCTTAATCCTAAAATTGTACCATGAATCAATCGCACACTCTGGATCCAGCTACCTCTGAAGAAACCCCACATATGACTGCACGAGGCTTTGGGAGACATCTAAACACAAGCAATAACACTGGCCGTCTGCTTGCCTCCCATAAGGGAAGTCCCTTTACCTTCTTGCTTCCTGAATAAAATTGATTTAGTGAATCAAGGAACGATGGGACAGCCCATAAAGAAGAGAAATCAATGATGGAAGTATGCAGTGAAGAAACTGGGAAAAATATCTGGGTTTGGAAACATTACACCTGAAGGAGAGAAGCCTAAGGAGTAAAGTGCGATAGATATGTGCTCTGTAAGACACCAGCTGTTCAGCATCCTGAGGGTATCATATGTTTCATAACTTCAATCTGGGCACTTTTATGCAATCC